TTGTATATGATAACCTAAATCTCTTGTAAAATGCCATGTTATTTCAAGGATGCCAGAAATACTCTGATATCTTCACTTTCTGACTAAAAGATCGAGAGAAATGACACTTCACCATTATTGATGCGTCATTGAAATGATCATCTGGTTTTAATACTTCATTCTGTGGACGTGTCATATTCTATCCCACAGTTTTGTATGTCCGACTCTCCTTTAATCTGCGATAAATCCCACTTGAACATAGTGCATAAATTTTAATATAGTTTTGTACTTGATTTGCTAATACTTCATTGAGATTTATCACAATAACGTTCCTCAAGGATATTGGTATATAGTTTTCACTGTGTGTGTGTATGTGTGTGATAGAGAGAGAGAGAGAGAGAGTCCTTTTCTTACATTTCTGAGATGGTTTTATTATTTAGCTCATGCAGCCTCAAAGAAACAAACTTCCTGCCTCTGCTTGTGAAGTGCTGAGTGTATAGTTGTGCCCCATCATGCCCAGCTTATTATCTCATTTTAGGGCCAGGAAAGTAGTGAAATCATACATAGAAATGTTTTAAATGAGTGCCCTCCCTTAGGATACTTTGGAATGAATTGAGAATTGTCACTCTTGGTTGAAAGTTGGTAAAATTCAACATGAAAACCATTCCATTCTTGGATAATCTTTGCTGGGAGACTTTTTATTACATGTTCTTTCTCATTTCTTGTTATGATCTGTTCAGATTGCCTATATCCTGGTAGCTTAATTTTGTTAGGTTATAGCTATCTGCAAAGTTCTCTATTTTTTTTTTCCTGGATTTCCAATATGTAGCATATACTTGCTCAAAACACTCATTAATGATTCTTCATTTTATAGTAGCATATATAACATCTCCTTTTTCACCTCTGATTTTCTTTACATAGATCTTCTAACTTTTCTCCCGTAAAGTTTTGTCCATTACATTTAACTTTTAAAAAACAAAACTTTTGTTTTCAGTATCTATTTTATTTATTTCAGCTATGATTGTAGAGAATTGATAAAATGATGAAGTTTAAATGTAAATACTTTATTATTACCAGAAAATCTTAAAATTTTTGTCACATAATATATTTTAAGAAATGGTCAACTCCTGTTTGTACTTTTTTTTGTGGGAGGAGGGGGTGGGTGTTGGTCATGGGACTTGAACTCTGGGCCTGAGTGCTGTCCCTCAGCTATTCAGCTCAAAGCTAGCACTCTACCACTTGAGCTATAGTGCCACGTCTGGTTTTCTGGTGGTTTATTGGAGATAAGAGTTTCACAGCCTTTCCTACCTGGGCTGGCTTTGTACCATGATCCTCAGATCTCAGCCTCTGGAGTAACTAGGATTACAGGCAGTAACCACAGGTGCCCAGCCTTTTTGTACCTTTTAATGGATTTTGTCAAATATTCTCATACATGTAGATGATGTACTTTGATGATAGTGGTCCTATTACTCTCTATTTAAAGCTAGTATTAAATAAATGTGAACAATTTTGTCATCCTTAAAACAATGATCAGCCCCATGTTTTTCAGGAACTTCATGACCTGAAGAAATATTTTATAATTTTGTATAAAAATATCATCATTAAATACATATAAAAGAATTCCCTTTAAAATGTCGGATACATTTGAGTCCACCATGGCACAAAGCACATGACTTACCATTATGATATGTCGTCAATGTACATTATATGATCGTGCAATATACCATGACACACCTCTTTGCACAATTAAGTTGCACTAATAAAAAGAAAGAAAAAATTCCCTTTGGCATTAGAAATCTCCAAGTGCTATAATTACTGGGTCCTACTGAATTGCTATCAATGCATACACTATTGCTATTCTATTGCTCTAACTCCTAGTGAGATCTAGCTCAGTTTTTCATCATACAATGCTCATTAGCTTAAGTGCATATTTGTCACTGTAGTAACTCAACTGATTTCTATTTTTTAGTCATAAACTTCTGCTTGACTATGGAGACTCTTGTGTATATATACTGGTAGTAATAAGGTATGTATATGTGTGTATTGAAATGGAACAAACTTAAAATTGTGCTACAGGGGACTCCACTGGAATATTGCTAATTCATTTACAGATACAAGCTGCTCCTCTAGCCATAATTGAATCTTTCCTTTTTCAGTTTCATATCACATTACTTCCTTGCAATAGAATGTATGCCATTTTCATGGTGACTTCCTCAAGCAATCATATTATAGGTAGACCAGCACTCTCAAATCAGTACATTAATAATTTATGTACCTTAATACTAAGACACTTTAGTTAAAAATTAGCTATATTTCAATGTTGAAAAATAATTGAAATTAAACGATGATAGCACTTATTTCCAGATTATATAAAGATTATACTTCACATAAAACATAAATGAAGTACCAGAAAGCCGAAACAGGTTTTGTTGGGGAGAAAGTCAAGATAAGGGAGGTGCAGAGGACTGGAGAGAGAATGGGTAGGTGAATACAATCACAATATTTAATGTATGTATGTGAAAATGGACCCATGTGACTTGGATGGGCAGGATTAAGACAGATGAGGAAGAATGATAACAAGTAGTAATATTAACCCAAATGTATTATAAATGGATGCGCTGAAGATGCTGGAGGGGATGTGGCCAAAAGAGAACCCTATTGCCTTGTTGGTGGGAGTGTAAACTTGTTCAATCACTTTGGAAAGCAGTATGGAGGTTCCTCAAAAGACTACATATAGAGCTACCCTATGACCCAGCAATCCCATATTTTTCTAATATGGGGAGGGGAAGGGAAATAACAAAATGCTGAGACAAGAATACAAGTTGACCCATTGTAACAATGACATGTACAAGAGATTATGTTGAAAATGAACTTTACAACTTCAGGGGAGGAGAGAGAGAGGAGTTGAGGAGGTGGGAAAGGGAGGGATAGTAGGGGAAAAACAAAGGAGGGAGAAATAATGCTCCATAAGAAATGTACTCATTACCTTACTCATGTAACTGTAACCCCTTTGTACAGTATCTTTACAATAAAAATATATATATTAAATATGGATGTGTTGAATTGAAATCTCTTTGTATAACTAAAGACTATAAGAATAGGGTAATAAACAATATATTCTTTAAAATCAATTGTTATTTAAATATTATTTAATAAAATATTAAAATGATTTAAATGATTTCAAAATTAATTCAAATAATCTATCATTTAGTTACAATAATAGATTATTATTTTTCCTATAGGAAAGCAGGAAAAACTTTTTTTTTAGCTAGCAAAAGGGTATCCCTAATGGTCAAGTGTGCATCTCTTAAGAAGTAGATCAGTTGGAAACAGCTTTAATAATCTCTGAGAGCAGCAGGCAATCTTCTTCTGACTAAAGGAAGATATCTATACTTATGTAAAAAAGTACTGGTCAGGAAATGAAACATATTTTATCCACTAAGGACAGCATGTCACCAAGACACAGACATATTAGTAGAAAATGCTGCCATTGTCTCCCAGCAGCAACTTCATAATCATAAAAAAAAAATCTGAGTGAACAGTGAGCCATCTCTGAAATAAATAGCCAGTAAGCTGGGTGCTGGTGGCTCATATCATAATTGCAGCTATTCAAGAGGCTAAAATCAGAGAATCATGGTTCAAAGCCAGCCTGGGCAGGAATGTCTGTGAGACTCTCACCTCTACTTAACCACCAAAATGTCATAGGAAGAGAGGATATGAGGAGAGTGGATATGAAAAAAGCATGATACAAACATATGTGAAAATAGTGTAGTAAATCTATTAATTTATGCAATTAACATGAGTTGATTTTTAAAAATCTGTTACAGTAATTAGCTCATAACAATGAAGTTAAGTACCTTTACCTTGAGCAAAGTTCGTTTCTCAGTTTATAAAGCCAGAATTACTTTTTTAGATGAGAGAAATTACACTTACAGATTAAGCAAAAAGATTACCTTGTTATTTTAAAATAAAAGACAGTTGTCTGTCACAAACAGTACCTTACCTCTAACACAGAATGATCTCAGTTCAGTTTGTGACCACGCCCAGTCACTTGGAGGAAAATCAATGTTATGTGCTAGTTACCATCACACCAACAGGACTTTGGCAAAAAAGACAGTGGATGAGATTTTTCCTTTTAAGAGGAGACTGGAAGAGTGTGGCCAGTTCAGTGAATGAATAAGTTACACTGAAATAGAAGTAACTTTTGGTGTCCTGTTACATGACAGGGGTATGCTAGACAATAAAAAATACTATATACTTCAAAAATGAAAGAAGAAAAATTTACCATCTTCATCAATATGTGAAAAAATGTTTGAGAAAATACATGTTTTCCATGATATTATTAGGCACTATATACGCTTATAAAAACATCATACAATATCAAGTAATTAGGTACCATTTCCGTAATAAAAATAAAACAATTAAATAAAAGTGAAAGCAATTGAACATAAAATTTAAAATGGAAGCAAAATTACATTTTAATTACTGTTATTGGAAATAAAAAGCCCTCCAATTAAATGAAAAATGCCATCACAGACACACCTGGAAAAGAAAAGTATTGTACACAAAGCTATAAAGTAGCTAATAAAAAGACTAAGCTGTGATGATATAAATGGTGAATGATTTTTAGGAAATAAATTCTACATAGCGAAGAAACGTGTAGGTTTATAAAAAAAAAAAAAACACCTTTTCAAAAACTCTTGAGATTTAAAAACAATGATAAAAATGATATACTGTGTTTCATATTGTTGAAAGCTAGTTGTGTTTTTTTTTACCCCATCAAGATTCACTAAAAATAATAATACCAAGAGGAAAACTGGATGAGAGGGAGGGAGGAGGTAACACAGCCCAAAAAGAAATGTATGCATTATCTGACTGAGGTGCCTGTAACCCCGCTGAACATCACCTTTATAATTACAATTTTGTAAGCTTTTAAAACATATAATAAAAATACAGGCAGAAAAAGATTCAGAGAAGGAGCAGAGAAGTTTTAATGTCTGTTCAATAGGTGATAACAACAACTACACTGAAAAGGTTCCTCTCCTGAGGATACTTTTCAGAGCTCCTTTCATATCTCGATTCCTCAGGCTGTAGATGAAGGGGTTTAGCATGGGCGTGACCAGCGTGTACATCACAGCCACAATGACATCCTTGTCATTCGTGTTGTTGGATGAGGGGACAAAGTAGAGCCCAATAATTGCTCCATAGTACAGAGAAACCACAGAGAGGTGAGAGCCACATGTGGACAGGGCTTTGCAGATTCCCTTCAGGGAGGGAGTTTTCAAGATGGTGGCCCCAATGCGGCCATAAGAGACCAGAATGCATACAAATGGTAGGGTAATGACCAATGATCCTACAATGAGGATAACCAGCTCATTGACAGTGGTATCTGAGCTGGATAGTTTAATCAAGGCTGAGAGGTCACAGAAGAAGTGGTGGAGAGTGTTGTCTATAAAGAAAGAAAGACGGGCGAGAAGGAGGGTGTGTACAAGGGCTCCTGCAAAGGACAAAACCCAGGAGCCTGTCACTAACAGGAAGCAGATGCTCTGACTCATGATGGTGGTGTAGTGCAAGGGGTGACAGATGGCCACATACCTGTCGTAGGCCATCGAAGTGAGGAGGAAGCTGTCGAGATCTGCAAAAAATAAGAAAAAATACACCTGGGAAATGCAACCAGCATATGAGATGGACCGGCTCTGTGTCAGCATGTTCATGAGCATCTTTGGTGCTGTGACAGAGGAGAAAGAGATGTCGGTGAAAGCCAAGTGGCTGAGGAAGAAGTACATGGGGGTGTGGAGGCGGGAGTCCAGCCTGATGAGCAGGATGATGAGCAGGTTCCCCAGCACGGTGGTCAGGTACATGGCCAGGAAAAGGGCATAGAACTGGCCTTGCTCCTCTGGCCTGATGGGGAGCCCCAGGAGGATGAACTCGGAGAATGTGCTTCCATTACCCCTTCTCATGCTCTTCTATTTCTTTATTGCTAGAGAAAACAAGCTGGAATGAGATCTGTCTTGTGAACAATCAAAACAACAGAGAAACATACTATGATTATCTGCCTACTAACAAATGAATCTCTATGCAATATCCAAGATTCATCCAATCTCAGCACCATTGTCTTTGAGAACTTAGGAGCTGTCTCAAATTACTGCTCATCACTCAATTAGAAAGTTAATTAAACTTTATACAACTGTACCAATTTGCCCAACCATATGGACATTATCTTTAAAATCACCACATTCTTCAGCAAGCTATGCTAATTATTTTGTTAGCCTGATGCACCTGATGTATTATACACCCATTTATGTTAATTCTTTGCCACGTTACTAAGCAACTACTTTATTACAATGAAAACGCTAATTAGCTGACTTCTGGATTAATTGGTTTGCTTCGATATTCTATTTCTAGCAATATTACTGTAACAATCATTATTCATATTACTTTATATGTTAGTATGTATGTATCTATGATAAATACTAGGAATTGGATTTAAGGTGTATATTAGTAATTTTGATAGTCAAATTACAGGACAATCAGTGGCTAGTAAGTTTATTCTTATTAGCTTTATAGAAAGAGCTAGGAATATAAGACGTTGTCACAGGAAGATCATCAAAGTTGGAAGTTTTACTTAAAAGTTTGGAGAGAACAGGGACAGGACATTTGAGATAAAGAGAAAATTTAAGGCAGTGTTCTAGCTAGATGTGTAATGTCTTTTTTATCTCTTATAGAAAAAAGTTCCAATTGTATTCTCAGAGCAATAGTGGAAGGTGTAAATAAATAATTGAATACGAAATTTGAGCATCTTGCTTTTAAGCAGATACAGATCTATGTATATAAAGAGTCTGAGCAGAGGTTGTTACAACAGATTAGACACAAATAATCAATACTTACACCTGGATTATGACAATGGAAATAATGCAATTGTAGAGACTGGCATAAAATTTGGAAAAGATGTATCAAGACATAATTGGGGATAAAGATAAGGAACAGGGACTATGTGATCTTATTATCTTCTAATAAATAAGATTCAGAATCATTTTGAGATAAACTATTCTCCCTGGAAAGTTGTTTTTGTCCTAGCCTTTCGAAATTCAGATCGTTCATCGTATGCTACTGCTCATGGAGATGTCAGTCATCCTGTGGTCTGAAGAGAAGTGGAATCTGAGGGTCACATACACTCAAACACACACAATCTTAACTACTGAAGTTAATTTAATTTCTATACCTTCTCTGACCCGGCTGCTACCTTCAGCTACAAAGTATAGGAAGGTTCTTCTTTTCCTCTCAAGAGAGCAGGGAATACAGTGAAACAGGAAGAACCTCTAAAGGGCACAAAGTTCCATTGTGGAAGGTGGAAGACTTAACTAGATCTGAACAAAACAAAATATACCCCCCCCAAAAAAAAACATTGCTCACAGCAGCTATGGGTTGGCCCCTGGGGGTCTTGCTATTTCCTAACTGATATAATTGCTTCATTTCCTTTGATTCTTGTGGGAATAAAACTCCTTGTGGAAGAAGGCATAAGAGCGTTCACAGCTGGAGGAATATAATCACCAGGAAGCCATTAAAAACTTTGGGTCACAATACTTTTTGCCAAACCAAAATGGAGATTGGATGTACCAGCCACACCATCTTTGTATATGAACATCAGGCTAGTTTTCAACTATGCAAAATAACACACTTAGTAAATATTTTATACACTTATACCTTGCTTGATCATATTCACCTCATTACTTTCTCTTGATCCATTACTCCCTCTAGTTCATCTCCCCTCAGTAATCCTCCTTTTACATTTGTGTCTTTAATTTGTCCTGTTATTTTTTGGTATGGATTTTACTTTTGAGAGACAATGTGGCCTTTACCTTTCTAAGTCTACTTCGTTGTGTTTATGCTAATGATCTCCAGTTCCAGCCATTTTCCTACACATGGCATAATTTCATTCTCTATGGTTAAATAATATTCCAGTTGTGTGTGTGTGGAGAGAGAGAGAGAGAGAGAGAGAGAGAGCAATTTCTTTTTCATCTATTTATTAGCATGGCTCAGAATAGGCCTGTTTCAATTGCTTACATTATCTTGGTTCTAGTTTCATACTCTCCTGATTTCATAGTATGTTTTTCTAGTGGTACATAAAAATACTACTGAATTTTGTACATTTATTTTTGTGTCCTGCTACTTTGCTCAAAGTGTTTGTCAGGTCTAAGAATTTAGGAGTTCTCAAGACAATCGTGTCAGCTGCAAATTGAGAGTAATTTGGCTTTTTTTCTTTCCTATTTGTATTCTTTTAATTTCTTGCTTTATTTTTCTAGTTAAAAATACAACTACTGTATTGAACAAGAGTGGAGAGACTGGATACCCTTGTCTTATTCCTCTTACTTAGAGGAATTGCTTTCCATTTTGCCCATCTAGTAGTATGTTGTCTACAAGTTTGTCAAATAATGTTTATTATCTGGAGTATGTTCCTTCCATTCCTACCTTTTTTAGGGCATTTGAATTTTGTCAAAGGATTTTCTACATCAATAAAGAGCATATTATTCCTGTGTTTTGTTCTGCTCATGTTCTACAGTACATCTTTTGATTGGTATATTTTGAGCCATTTTGTATCTCTGGAATTAAATCTGCTTATAAGAGTGTTGATGTTTTCATTAAGTTATTCATTTTTACAAGAATTTGTTTATCCAGTATAATGTTATACCATTTTCTTTCTTTGTGTTCTGTACTTTAAAAAGTAGCTTCATAGGATGTGTTGTAATGTTCCTTTATTTATGCTATAATCTCTGAAAAGCACTTGGTGCATTACTTTTTTGACATTTGATAGAATTCAGCCATAAATTTATTCTACACTTGTCTTTGTTTTGTTTGGAGACTCTTTATTGCTTTAATTTCATGGCTCAGAAAAGGCCTGTTTCAATTGCTTGCATTATCTTGGTTCTATTTTCATAGGTCATGTATGTCTAGAAATTTATCTATTTCTTCCAATTATCCAGTTTATTGGAATGTAAGTTTCATATATCATTGCTCAGTCAGTTCAATGATCTTTTATATTTATTTGATATCATATAAAATATATACTTTCTCCTCTTCCATCTCTTGCTGTACCATTAATAAATAGAACCTGTTTTATATTCCTGTTATTCCTGGGGCTTGAACTCAGGGCCTTGGTACTGACCCTGAACCTCTTTGTGCTCAAGGTGAGCACTCTACCACTTGGGTCACAAGACCACTTCCAACTTTTCTGAGATAAGAATTTCATAAGACTTTTCTGCCCAAGGTTGGCTTCAAACCACAATCTCTGAATCTCAGCATCCTAAGTAGCTAAGATTATAGGTATGAGCCACTGGCACCAGGCTCTGTTATTCATTTTTGAGGACTAGATTCTGTATATGAGAGAGAACATATAATATTTGTCTTTTCTTAGTCCAGTTTATTCCATTTAACATGATATCTAGTCCTATCCACTTTTCTTCCAAGATATAATTTCATTTTCTTTACTACTGTACAACACCATATAGTGTATACATACCACATTTTCCTTATCCAGTCCATTGCTTGATGGGCTGCTTCCATATCTTGGCTATTTTGAATGGTATTGCTTTAAAAAGTGGCCATGCAGGCGCTGAGAGGGAGTTGAGTGGACAGAGCCTGATTTACTGTAGAGCACATGGGCAGCAAAGATGGCGCTGAGAGGGAGTAGAGTGGGCTGAGCCCAATTTGCCTTACATTCAGTGCATAACCAGCCCGTGAAATCTTAGGTGCATGATAGGGTATGACCTTGACAGTGATTGGTTCCTCTTCCTCCCCTGCCATGCCACCCGCTCCTTTTGGCTTTAAAAAGGACTGCTCTCTGTTAATAAACGAGTTTCCTTCCTACTTAAAAAAAATAGTGGCCATGCAGATATTCAACTGTTTTTACTGTAGTTTCAGATATATGCCCAAAATTGGTATAACAGAGCCATAGATTAGTTCTACTTTTAGTTTTTGAAGGAAATGGTTCCTTATTTCCATAGAGTTGCATTAATTTACATTCTCACTGACAGCGAACAAAGGGCCCTTTTTTCCTTGTATTCTTGCAAGCATTTGTCCATATTTTGTGATGATAGTCATTCTGTTATTAGCATACAGACAAGTTATATTAGCATGTTTGTTTTGCTTCTTGTTACTTTGCTAAAAGTGTTTTAACAATCCAAAGAGATTTCTGGTGCAGTTCTTATAGTGTTCTTAAGATTAGATAACATGGTCTGTAAATAATGCTATTTGAACATCTTTCTTTCCCATTTGAATTATTTTCATTCCCTTCCCCCTTTCTTGTTGATCATGTCAAAATTTAAACAATATATTTCTTAAACAATATATTAAATAAGTTACTTGTCTTAGAGGAAATGCTTTCAGTCTGTGCCCATTCAGTATTACCTTAACTACAGGATTATTGTTATAACCCTTCGTATGTTCAGATTTGATGCTTCCATTGCTAGATCATTCAGAGGTTTGGTTTTTTTCATCATTAAAGCATGTTAAATTTTCTCAAAGATTTTTTTCTGCATGATCTTAAATGATTTCTTAATTTTTGTCTTGGATTATATCTATATGTTGTGATACATTTAATGATTTGTTTATTGAACCATCCTTGCATTTCTGTTACCTATATAAACTTGATTGTGGGGTATTTTTTTAATATGCTATTAAATCAAGTTTCCATTCATATGCTCAGGTAGTATTCAGTGATCAGTTTTGACAAATGTATATCAGTAAACAAAACATTGGCATAACTCCAGAGAGTTTCCTTGGCCTGCTTTCCAGACCATAGAATCCAGAAGCAAACATTAATCTTTTTATTTTAACAATAGGTTACTAAACTTATGGCAATACCTCTAACTCTATCACTAGAGCTATAAATTATGCTGAAGCTGGTTTTAAATCCTAATCCTATTGTTACACTTGATGTTGGTGCTGGTTCTGGTTAAACTAGTATTTGCTTAAAGGTCAAGTGGCATTATAGCCGTCAATGCTAGATCTGGTTCTCCAGAAGGAGCTGTTGGGAGAGCCAATGCTGGCTTCAGCTTTGGAGCTGACACTGATTCTGTTATCAGTGTTGGAGCTGGCACTAATTATTCTGCCTTGGGAACTGTCTGTTAAACTGGCAGTAGATTCTTATATTCCACTTTGTATAACAATCTTTCGATAACACACCTTCAAAAATTCTCCCTATGCAATATCCATTTAAATGACTGGTCTAAGGCTATTGTCATTTTTTAGATTTTTTTTGCTTTGCATTATTTTATTTTTTTATTTTTTTTAATTGTGAAAATACTGTACAGAGGGGTTACAATTACATGGGCAAGATTATGAGTACATTTCTTATCAAGCATTGTAGCCTCCTCCTTTGTTTCCTCTTCCCATCCTCCCCCTGCCCCCCCCCACCCATCCCTCCCCGCTCTCCCCCTCCCCCCCTCCCCCCGCACCAAAGTTGTAAAAATCGTTTACGACATAACGACTTGTACATCTCATTGTTGTAATGGATCCACCTGTATCCTTATTTATTGTAAATGAATGTTGTAAATGCATTATACAATGTGAGAGGGTTTTATTATGCCATTCCATACCTGCATAGAATGAACTTTGGGTACATGCAATTCCTCTATTACTCTCGTATTTCCTCTGCACTCAATTCCCTCCCACACTTTAACTTTCTTACATTATTTTCAAGGAGTTTCATTATGTCCTTTTCATATATATGCACAATGAAATTTGATTATAATCGCCTTCCTTTCTTTTCACCATACAATCTCCCACTGCCCCTCCCTAGCAGCCTTTCTTTTATATTCATGTTGGAAAACTGGGAGAAAGATAGGTACAGAGGAATTTGTCAACTGGTATTAAAATAGGTAAGATGGGCTGGGTGCTGGTGGCTCCTGCCTGTAATTGTAGCTCTTCAGGAGGCTAAGATCTAAGGATCATAATTTGAAGCCAACTCATGCAGGAAAGTCTGTGAGACTCTTATCTCCAATTAATCACCAAAAATCCAGAAGTGGAGCTGTGGTTCAAGTGGTTAAGTAATATTCTTGAGCAAGGATCAGGGACAGGGCTTAGGCCCTACTTCAACCCTAGAACTAGCACAAAAATTAAGCTAAATAAATAAATCATGTAGGAAAATCAGATCTGGTATTCTAATGCCCAGTAGGTTGACTAGAAATAATGACTACAAACACACTCACACACCTGCACACACGCACATACACACACATACATACCTTTTTGGACAGTCTTACTCCTTCCCTCATTTTCTCACACTTTTTCCCCTCCCAAATTAAATAAACTATAAAGAATGATAAAACTAACTTTTTTACTAAGATTACTAGCCAAATAGATCCAAATACATTACAAAGTTAAAACAATAAAATCTGAAGCTCAAATAGTAGATAACTTGCCTAGCAAGTACAAGACCATGATTCACAGCCCAGTACCTCAAAACAAATCATGAACCTAAAAAAAAGAAAGAAAGAAATTGAAAGGTCAGATAAGTTGATGTTAGGTGAAATGAACACCAAGATAAGTACTCAAATTTTTTTTCTTTCTTGCGATTGTTTCTAACATATTTATAAGATGATTTCTTTGTTGATTTGTATGTCCCTCCCCCATGGTATAATCCCTGCTTTCATTGTATTTGATGTTGGTATAATTTGTAGAGGGGAAGGGAAAAACAAATTGTTTAAATAAGGATACAGCTGGACCCATTGCAACAATGAGATGTACAATTTGTTATGTTGAAAAACGAATTTTACAACTTTGGTGGGGGGGGGGGAGGAGGGGGAGGAGGGGGGAAGGGAAGGGATAGGAAGGGGAAACAAAGGAAGAGGCAACAATGCTTGATAAGAAATGTACTCATTACATTGCTCATGTAATTGTAACCCCTCTGTACGGTATTTTCACAATTTAAAAAAAAAAAGAAAATCATGAACTTAAAAAAAAGAAAGAAATTGAAAGCATTGCTGAAAATGAGTCTATATCTATTTTAAAATACAACTAAGTGATGGAACTACATAAAATGCAAATGATTTTAGTACAAGAATATATTACAAAAGAGAAATTTAGGAAAAGAAACCTGTACAAATGCTTGTAAACAACTTCCTAGAAATTCTTAAGATCAATAAAGTCAAAAGGAGAAAAGGAGAAGAGAGGAAATAAAGAGGAAAAACAAATGAGAAGGTAAGAGAATGAGGAGAGTGAGAGCCTTTGTGCCCATGACACATGCTGGTTACTCTGAAGGCTGAGTTCTGAGGATCACATTTGGAGCCAGCTCAGGAAATTCTGTGAGACTCTTATTTCCAATTAACTAGTAAAAAAAAAAAAGAGAGAGAGAGCCAGAAGTAGAGCTATGGCTCAAGTGGTAGAGAACTAGACTTGAGTGAAAAAGCTAAGGAACAGCACCAAAGCTGTGAGTTCAAGTCCCAATACCAGCACAGAGGGAGGAGAGGAGAGACAACAGAAGGAAAACAGAAGGGAGAGAAAGGGAGGGAAAGGTAAGAGAGGGAAAAATTGCACCCAAGAGTCACATAGCTAAAACAAAAAGAATGCCACCTCAAGATTTAGTAAGAATTCAGGAAAGAACGTGTGTATAGGATAGAAGAGGGTTTACATTAAATAACAGTAAACATAATGGCTAATCACAATGAAAATGTTCTGCTGAGTATATTCCTCAGAGCTCCTTTCATATCTCGATTCCTCAGACTGTAGATGAAGGGGTTTAGCATGGGTGTCACCAGAGTGTACAGCACAGCTACAATGACTTCATTGTCACTAGTGTTGTTGGATGAGGGGACCAAGTAGAGCCCAATAATTGCTCCATAATAGAGAGAAACCACAGAGAGGTGAGAGCCACATGTGGACAAAGCTTTGCAGATTCCCTTCAGGGAGGGAGTTTTCAAGATGGTGGCACCAATTTGACCATAAGAGACCAGAATGCATAGGAATGGTATAGTAATGACCACTGTTCCTACGGGGAGAATAACTAGCTCATTGATGGTGGTATCAGAGCTGGACAGCTTCAGTAAGGCAGAGAGGTCACAGAAGAAGTGTGACAGAGTGTTGTCTCTACAGAAAGAGAGATCAGAGAGGAGTAGGGTGTGTACCAGGGCACTGGCAGAGGACAAAACCCATGACAAAATTACCAGCAAGCAACAAAGGCCGTGACTCATGATGGTGTTGTAGTGAAGTGGGTGACAAATGGCCACATATCTGTCGTAGGCCATTGAGGTGAGGAGGAAGCTGTCAATACCCCCAAATAATAAGAAAAAGAATTCCTGGGCAATGCACCCAGCATAGGGGATGGATCCGCTCTGTGTCAGCATGCTCATGAGCATCTTTGGTGCTGTGACAGAGGAGAAGGAGATGTCCGTGAAAGCCAAGTGGCTGAGGAAGAAGTACATGGGAGTGTGGAGGCGGGAGTCCAGCCTGATGAGCAGGATGATGAGCAGGTTCCCCAGCACCATAATGAGATACATGGCCAGGAACAGTGCATAGTACAAGCCTTGTTCTTCCTGCTGGATGGGAAGTCCCAGGAGAATGAATTCAGACACACAACTTCGATTATCCTTTCTCATGTTCTTCTCTTTTGTGGGCAATGAGAAAGAGATAGAAATGTGAGAGAAAAGTATTTTGTCAAAATCCAAGCATTAAACTACATATATTTTAAACCTGAAGATCTCGTGATTTTGCCCCTTAAAAGACTGGTGTTGGAGTGAACAAAAGAAAAACCTTACTTATCTAGCTAGAAACCAGGTTAATAAGCAAGATCTGAATAATCATTGTATCATATCACACTAGGCTCAAACTTGATATTCCTATTAGTCTATTTATGGAAATCTGATATTAAGTGACTATGAAGTACATTCGGTAGCCAATTTGCAGAAAAAAAAATAGCAGATGGTTCTAATAGTTTGTTGGCTTCTCTTATACTGCCTATGCCTCTGAAACTTATTTTAACAATACTTTATTTTCAGAGATCAGATAAAATGAAAGAATCCCCAGTGAGCTGCTTTGTGACTGAAAGTCAGCATCTGGAGAGGTAGATACATCACATGCTGCCGGTCAAGTAGGGCTTTGAGGAAATGAGTGTATGTCAATAACATAAAGCAGCTAGTAAGATCCCTTGTTGTACATCTCTGTCCTTCCTTTAGGAAAATAATTTCTCCAGTAGAGGGCAGAACATAGAGGAAGTGGTGCTAGTGTCCATTTCTCTCCTCTATACTACAGTATTGTGAAAAATAAAACTTTTTATTACTGACCTTGATTATGCAGTTATATTAGATTCCATCACAACCGAAGTTTTGACTAATAGTTTACTCTAATCGAGAACAAAGAAACAAGAATATTCTTTCTCACTCATTATTTTCTGTCTTCCATCACACTTTCTATAGAAATTTTCATGGAATATAGAGGAGGAAAGATCTGTTCCTCTTTCAGACCTATCCTGTGTAGTATTTCCTTAGCTCAAATCAGGCCATTCTTATTCAAGTCCTCAAAAAAGCTTTTTACAAATTGCCACTTACATAAACAAATAACCTCTTTCTCATTTATGGTATCTAATCAAGGTTTTATGTCAAAGATTCTTAACTGATTTTTTTTCATAATTTTAGTATGTTTTATTTCACTAGTCATTCATGCCTTTTTCTCAAGACAGTCGATATTGTTCACTTATAAATAGGTGAACAATAACAAAAGAAGAAAGAATTTGATGATCTGTCTACTCAAAATTAGAACTCATATTCTACATACTTATATTTGAGGATGAGGAATCAACCTCATCATTCATTCAGAAGACTAACTATAGTTTATATTAATATACAAATTTCCTCAACTGACTAAAATTATCTTTAGAATACTTCTTTCAGTCCACTACATGAAATCATCTTGTTTATGTTATGTTATTATCTCAGACAGATTATTATGTAGCTGGTATGTAGCTTACCACATAAAAATGGTAATTAGCTATGTGTAGAGCATGTATATTGTTTCTAATACTGTACTGTTTACATGTATTTTTACATGGACTGTTTACATATACTAAATAACATTACTCATATGCAATTCTGTACTTTAGCATGTATACCTATAGGATAACTTGCTAGAAATTGAATCAGAAGAAAGGTATATTTATGGTTTTGATAGTTCATTAAATTACAAGAAGCTAAAATGGCAGGGGAAATCAATGTTATTTGTTCTTTAAATTATTCTTTAATAGACAAACTTGTTACCTGAATAATCTAAAATTTGGCTCTGAACTCTGAACTCTCTTAACTCTCTTAAGTGCTTGGAGAAAATGGAGATAGCTATTTGAGGAACAGAAAATCTCAAGACTGTGGTATTCATAAAAAGAAAATAGAACAGAATTATCAAGCAGCCAGAATATATAGTGTCTTTAAATTATAAAATTCAGTTTTATTTCAGGTCAACTGTACTTTGAAGAAAAAGTTTTAGAAAAGTGTACTAAAGATTTTAATATGCAGTACATTATATAAATCAAATTATAATAAAACATGAGTGTTCACAGGAATCTGAATGGGAAGTTATTGGAATAATTTAAATACAAATAATACTTGCTTATGTCTACATCATAGCCAAAGAGATGAAGACAATGGCAGGGATTTGGTATTAAGTTTAGAAGAAAGCCAAACTACAGCTACAATAACGAGGAGGGGCACAGAAATGGAGGGACAAAGGATGAACAAATGCAGCAATGGTACTCACCAGACACAATGTTGAAAATGAACTATGCAACTCGTAGGTGGGGTTGGGAGGGAAAAACAAGGAGAGATGAAGGAAGGGGTGACATTTTCCAAATATAAATGTACTCTTTTTTTGTTTGTTTGTTTTTTGGGTCCGGTCGTGGGGCCTGAACTCTGGGCCTGGGCGCTGTTCCTCAGCTCTTCAGCTCAAGGCTAACGCTCTACCACTTGAGCCACAGCACCACTTCCGGCTTTTTTTCTTTTTGCTTATGTGGTGCTGGGGAACCAAACCCAGGGCCTCATGCATGCAAGGCAAGCACTCTACCACTGAGCCACCTTCCCAGCCCCTATAAATGTACTCTTTACTTGACTAATGCAACTGTAACACCTCTGTACATCACCTTTATAATAATAAAAAATTCAATGAAAAATAAGATACTCAAAGAAATACTTTTTCAATGTTTTCTCCAAAACTAGATATAAGTTCAATCAGTTTCGGGTAAATTATTCTATTTGGAGAGTTATCTGGCCACTTCAATTCAAAATATGCATAGATATTCATCTCAAGATACAACTTTCTGTCCTGTCATGTGATCAAGAGAGCAGTAGCACATACTGGACATGCACACACACACACACACACACACACACACACACACACACACACACACACACACACACACACACCAGCAATGCTGAATGTAAAGTCTACTCCTGCTCTGTCTGAAATGCTGCAAGGCAGAAGTACCTTCAGATACACATCATGGTAAGTTCTCCTATGTCTTTCTACAAGGCACAGAAGACAGGTCAATCTCAAAGAGCCTCAAATTTCCTTTGCAATTGGTGGAATTGTTAATACAGTATGAAACCACATAAATATAGCAATACACATTTGTTGACATCCCCTGAGACCTAAGAGAAAAAAATACATTTACAAACCATGGAGAGGACTTGGGGATGACCCTTTATTCCCAGCTGCAAATTAGAGACATACAGAATATAATTGGCTTGTTCCTTTTAACTCCTTTGGGGGAAGAACTCCTTGATGAAGCAGGCATAGGAGTGTTTACCTGGGAGCATCATGATCATAACAAAGTAACAGTTCTAGGAACTGGATGATTCACAAAGCCTTTTGCCCCCTCAGTTTACCTTGGAGAAAATGCAATACAAAGTCCAAGGTGAAGGTTGAGTGTGATAATCAATAATCTCATTATTTCAAAACACCAGATGCTAGGCTGGGAATGTAGCTTAGTGGTGGAGTGCTTGCCTTGCATGCATTAAGCCCCGTGTTTGATTCCTCAGTACCACATAAACAAAAAAAAAAAGCCTGAAGTGGTGCTGTGGCTCAAGTGGTAGAGCACTAGCCTTCAACCAAAGACGCTCAGAGACAGTGCCTAGGCCCTGAGTTCAAGCCCCATGACAGGGAAAAACAAATAAAAAATAAAACACCAGATGCCTTCATTCTCGGAGAAATTTTATCTCACTACCACCACTACACCATTTGGAAATGGTTATAGTTACTGTTACTCTTTCTCTGCCCAAAAATTAGGAATGGAATTAATTAATCCCATTCTGGAGAAAATCCAACAACACAGTAGTATCATCATTCAATAAATGTTTAGCAGTAAACTCCTTATGAAACTTATCCCAGAAATATTGCATGGATCTCCGGCTCCATTTTATTTTTCTGAATAATACTTGATTGTATACAGCTAACACACTTTCTTTATACATCCATGGATGGGTAGGTACCAAGACTGACTTCAGATTTCTCTATGTTGATTTGCATTTCTTTGAATAAACCCACAAGTAAAATAACAAGAGCATGTTGTAATTCTATCTTTAAAGTTTAAAAAAAAATGAAAGTGGCTTAAGTGGTAGTGCACTAGCCTTTAGGTGAAGAGCTGAGGGACAGTGCCCAGGCCTAGAGTTCAAGACCTGTGACCAACAACAATAAAAACAAAAACAAAAACCCTCCACACTGATTTCTACAGTATCTGGGGTGATTTGCATTCTCACCAATACTAAACAAGGCTTCTTTTTCTGTTGCATCCTCTTCAACATTTGTTGTTTCTTTTCTTGATGATAGCCATTCTGACTTAGGAATGAAATGTAATTTTAATGGATGTTGAGCATTCCTTGTGCATATCTTAGCCATTTGTACTTCTTTTGAAAACTGCTCAATTTATTTGCCCATTTATTAGTTATTCTCTGGGTGTTTAATATTTTGGAGTTTAAATTTTGGAGTTCTTTATATACTCTGCATATTTGTTCTTTATCCAATGAATAACTGGCAGATTTTCCTCCATTTTATAGGTTTTCTATGTGAATCATTGTTTATTTTGCTGTGCAGAGATTTTAATTTGATTCAATCCCTTTTATCCATTTCTTTTTGTGCTGGTCATACAGCTTGAACTCAGAGTCTGGGCAATATGCTTTAGCTTTTTTGCTCAAGTTTAGCAATACCACATGAGGCACAGCTTCATTTATAGCTATTTGATGGTTAATTGGAAGCAAGAGTATCATGGACATAGTCCTGCCTGAGCTGGCTTAAGACTGTGATCCTCATGGAATAGGAGAAACCCTAGGTCTCCTTGGCAAAGGCCAAAATTTTCTTAATAGAGACCCAGAAACACAACAAATCAAAGAAAGGTTGGACAAATGGGATTGCATGAAGTTGCAGAGCTTTTGCATGGCAAAGGACATAGCTAGCAAGATCAATAGAAAGCCTACGGATTGAGAGATCTTCACTAGCCATACAATGGAAAAGGGTCTCATATCTAAAATATACTTGGAACTCAAAAAAAATCCCCCAACAACAAATCCTCAAAGAAACAACTGCCCAATAAATAAGTGGGCTAAAGACTTAAAGAGAA